GGAGAAGTTTGACCCTGATGCTACCCAGTTTATAGAGTTCTCCAAGCTCTCAGATTTTGCAGCTGCCCTGGATCCTCCTCTTCTGGTAGCAAAACCAAACAAAGTTCAGCTCATTGCCATGGACCTGCCCATGGTCAGTGGGGACCGGATCCATTGCCTCGACATTTTATTTGCCTTTACAAAGCGTGTTTTGGGCGAGAGTGGAGAGATGGATGCCCTTCGAGTACAGATGGAAGAGCGATTCATGGCATCGAACCCATCCAAAGTCTCCTATGAACCCATCACCACCACTTTGAAACGGAAACAAGAGGAGGTGTCTGCTACCATTATCCAGAGGGCTTATCGATGCTACCTCTTGAGGCAAAAAGTTAAAAAGGTTTCCGCTATATATAAGAAAGACAAAGAAGGTCACGGAACACCTATCAAAGAAGATATCAAAGAAGATATCCTTACTGATAAACTAAATGAGAATTCAACTCCCGAGAAAACCGATGTGACACCTTCTACCACGTCTCCACCTTCCTATGACAGTGTGACCAAACCGGAAAAGGAAAAATTTGAAAAAGACAAATCAGAAAAGGAAGACAAAGGGAAAGATATCAGGGAAAGCAAAAAGTAAAAAAGAAACAATATTTCTTTTGTGAACAATTGTTTACAGCCTGTGATGGTGATGTATTAGTGTCAACAAGACTCCCACAGGAGGTCTATGCCAAACTGACTGTTTTTACAAATGTATACTTAGGGTCAGTGCCTCTAACAAGACAGGGACCTCTGGTCAGCCAACTGGGACTCAACAAACCAGAAAATCAGCATTGACAGGAGGTTTCTGTTTTCACAACCAGCTGACACTGCTGAAGAGCAGAGATGTAATGGCTACTCAGACTATAGGAACCAATTTAAAGGGGGAGGGGGTTAAATTTTTATGTAAATTCAACACGTGACACTTGATAACAGTAATGGTCACCACTGTTTATGTTTAACTGCCGCACCTGCCATATTTCTACAAAATGTACGCTGTGAACTTATTGCTTTTTCTTTTGTTTTAATTCACAGGTTGTTTACTATTATATGTGACTATTTTTGTAAATGGGTTTATGTTTGGGGAGAGGGATTAAAGGTAGGGAATCTTTACATTTCTCTACTGTATAATGATATATTTTAAATGAAGGCCTGCTGCACTTCTCATCCACACATGAAAAAAATCACATCACAAAAGGAAAGAGTTTACTTCTTGTTTCAGGATGTTTTTAGATTTTTGAGGTGCTTAAATAGCTATTCATGTTTTTAAGGTGTCTCATCCAGAAAAATTTTAATGTGCCTGTAAATGTTCCATAGAATTCACAAGCATTAAAGAACTGTTTTATTTTTACATAATTCATTATATGTACATGTATATATGTATATATGTATATGTGCATGTATATACATATAGATGTATATACGCACACCATTACATAGTCATTCAGAATCCTGGCAGCATGACTATAACATTTTTGATAAGTGCCCTTTGGCATAAAATAAAACTATTCTATCAAGTCCTTTCTAAGAACCTGAACTGACCAAAAAGCATCCCCACCACCACTTTATAAAGTTGATTCTGCTTTTTCCTGCAGTATTGTTTAGCCATTTTCTGCTCTTGGTAAGGTTGACAGTGTATATGTCAATTTAAAAAAAAAAAAAAGTCTGCTTTGTAAATAGTAATTTTACCCAGTGGTGCATGTTTGAGCAAACAAAAATGATGACTTAAGCACAGTATTTATTGCATCAAATATGTACCACAGTAAGTATAGTTTGCCAGCTTTCAACAGGTAATATGATGTCATTGGTTCCATTATAGTTTGAAGCTGTCACTGCTGCATGTTTATCTCACCTATGCTGCTGTATCTTACTCCTTCCACTGTTCAGAAGTCTAACATGGGAAGCCATATGCCAGTGGTGAAGTGAAACCAGTTGTTCTACCAAGACCTCATTCTTCATGTCATGAAGCAATAGGCAGCAGCAAAGAAGAGCTTCTTGCTTTTTATTCTTCCAATCTCCATTGAACACTCTATGGTTAAAAAGCCCAACTGTGCAAACATGTTGCAAGCCGCTTAAATCTGTTGAAAATATATGGTTAGAGTTTTCTAAGAAAATATAAATACTGTAAAAAGTTCATTTTATTTTATTTTCAGCCTTTTGTACATAAAATGAGAAATTAAGAGTGTCTTCAGGTTGATGTCACAGTCACTATTGTTAGTTTCTGTTCCTAGCACTTTTAAATTAAGGCACTTCACAAAATAAGTAACAAAGACTAAGATGCAGTGTAGATTTCTGCTTTTTTATTAGTACTGTAAACTTTGCACACAATTCAATGTGAGAAAAATATCAGACTGAGTCCAACGTTTATTTGCTTTCAAAGTAATGCCTTATCATCAAAAGGCTTAATCAAGGAAAGATCAGTTGTTAGGCTTGGCATTGCTTGATCAGACGTTTCCACATAGTCCTTATATTGAGTAAATCATCAGTCTTTTCTAGTGTTTGCTTATGCAGGTAGATCTTATTCTCATTAACCCACATGGCGTTATAACTGTATCAGGTATGGTATGAGATCCAAGCTTCCCCCCCCCACACACAGAATCAGATAGTGAAATTATATTACCAGTTATAGCAAAACATTTTGTGTTCCTTTCACAAGCAACATTAAATGTAGATTCTTTATACTAAAGCTATTGACTTGTAGTGTGTTGGTGAAATGCATGCAGGAAAATGCTATTACCATAAAGAACGGTAAACCACATTACAATCAAGCCAAAAGAATAAAGGTTTTGCTTTTGTTTTTGTATTTAATTGTTCTGTCTTTGTTTCTATCTTTGAAATGACATTAAAAGGTAAATTTCTATCATGTAAAAATGATCAATCAGAAAAAATTAATGTAAAGAATACACATGAAATATAATGATTCATCTTTAATTTTTTTTTTCATAGAATGGAAATCAATTAAGAAGAGTGTACACTTTATCTAGTTTAAATATAGGCCAAAAGCCTAGATATGGTATTGGTTAGTGGAAAGTTATAAAAATTAATAAAAATTGACTAACCTTTTAAGTTGTGCCTCTACCTACTATTTTGTTTTGTTTTTCTCTTTTTCATTTTAGTTTCTTCCCTATGTATCCTTGATCTACTTTCCATCTCCTCCTCAGGCTCTCAGTATTTTTCACCCAGGTTATCTTGTTTCTTTTCTGTTTACCAAATTTCTTATTTATCACAATCTGAACTTGTGCACTTAACCCTTAATCATCTACTGCCATTATAAAAGTCCATATAGTAGCTATTTATTTCCACAATTAAATTGCCAAAAATTCAAAGTGAGCTTAGATCTGAAGACTTCATAAAACGCAAACAAAATGACATAGCTTTGGTTTTCACATTTAATTATGAGCAGTTTATGAAATGCTTCTCAGGTCAGATTGCATATTATAATTACCCAAGGCACTTTTTAAAAATGCCAGTGCATGAACCAAGACCAGACCACCTGAACTTGTATTTCTGGAGATCAGACTTAAGCACCTAATTTTTTTTTAAGGCTCCCATTAGTGCTGATTCAAATGAAGGAATGAGAGTTAATGAATTATGGTATCCGTGCCCAATCGGAAAATATATTCTACAGAAAATGCACCTGTTCCCTTTAGAGATTATAACTCATATAACTCATCATGGACAAATGCGGTTACCAATATTAAGGACTTTGGGGGTGTTGGTCTTGTAGTGTGACATTGATACATTTATATTGGGGGTTCTCTTCTAGGACAGAAGTTGGTGGGAAAGCGATTCCACGAGAATAGTGTACAGAGCTTTACAAATTACACATACATACTCACACACATAATGGCACTGTAACCACCCCTCATACACACTGCATGAGGTGAATATGGAGCTGGTTTTGGAAACAGTATGGATTCATGAAATACCCATCCCCTACCCAGGTGAATCCTATGTGCCTTGTGTAAGAACCTTTAATCTGGGCTAATGGGAGGCAGCTTACACTCACCACCATAAAATAAACATTCAATTTGTCATTATCAAGTCATGAATTTAAAGAGGAAACATTCCCATTCTCAAATTCTCCATTCTTGAACACCTCTCATCTCACTTGTTTTCTGTATAATAATACAGAATAATTTACAAAGAAAAGAAAGGAGTAAAAAAATAGAGGGGGGGATGAAATGGAGAGAAGGAAGAGGGAAGAAAATAGGGAAAAGGAGAGGAAGGTAGGATAGTATAATAAATGTGAGGGAATGGTTTATAAATGATCCTCTGGGGGGAAATATCTTTTACTGTTAATATCTACAGAAACTATGGGGGAAAGGGATAGAAAGAGGTAAGAGGGAAAAAATTGTGTTCAGTTGTCAATATATTAAATAGACAATAAAACATGTTTCTCCTCCAATTCTTTTTAAAGAAAAAAAGTATCTATGAAAAAGGTAAGAGGATGTTATTAAAGTAAATGTTACAATGATTGCATGGGTAGTGTTTTTGTCTTTCTTTAATATGAACTAAATAATATTTGAGTGTCTACTACATAATCAGATTTTAAAAACAGCTGAGAGATCAAAGATGGACTTAACTGTCCAAAGGAAGGTTGTATAGCCAGAGGTGAAGAACCTTGAAAGTTATGCTGAAGAGTCTGGAATTGTTGGCAATGAGCAGCGATTAATTGTTCTTGAGCAATAAAATAAGCAGTAAAATCGATGCATCTGTCCCTATTTAATCTGAAAGTAATAGGCTGCATTGCCCTTTTTTGGCTAATAGTTTACAGAGATCTCATTTCCCATCTATTTTTAAAGATGTCTGTGTTCTTACCTTTTGGTATATATTTTTTAAAAAGGATACACCTCAATTAAAAAATCCAATCTGACACTTTCTGTTAAAAGCCTATCTTAATCTACTCACATTTATTTTATATATAGATATATTTTATCTTATTTTTATCATGTTATTTCATGCTTTCCCTAACCCCAAGTTTTTCTTTTCTTTGTTCCTTCCTTCTTGTCCTCTTTTGCATTAATTTTTTCTTTATTTTCTTTACCCCATCTCTAATGGTTGGAAAGATGCCCACTGTCTTCCCTTTTTCCTTCTTTCCTTCATTTTGTCTTCCTTCTCTCTGCAAGTGATTCCCCTTAAACTTTAACATGCATACTTAATTAGTGAAATATAATCAATAACCCGACCTGCAACAATGAAGTTTCTAAAACAAATTACATACCATTGCCCAACTCTTAGGTTTTTTTGGTCCACTATTCTAATTCTACCTTATCTGACAGTCAACAAATTAAACAGTATTATGATTGTGAATTTTTATAGCAGTACTTATTTAGACTTCCTCACACATGAATGAATTTGTTTCCACAAATTTGCTTCTTCTGCCCACTTCATTATTTTGTGTTCTATTTCCTTAAAATATATGAGGAATTCTATTAGCAAGGTCTGTGAGTAGCACCACCTTTATTTCAGCCACATTTTTAATAGATTAGTTTAGATTATTTTGGTGTTTTTCAATTTTTTAGCCAAGCCATGAAGTTGCTTTTATTAATCAAAATTCATGCCTATGTAATTTAAAGATTCATATATTTATTAACATCTTTGATAAAATTTGAGGGAAATTTTCAGCTTTTAGCATTATAATACTTTCTCCTCCTATATTTTATTCTCTCTATCTTGAATTCCTGAGGATTACATATTGAAATTTCTAAATATTCTTTCTTGTTATCTTAAAGTCACTCCCTTATTTTTTATCTTTCAATTTTATTTTGTATTGGTTTCAGGTGTACAGCTTACTTACAGTCATATACGTTAACATAGTGTTCCCTCAATATTTCTTCTTTTATTTTTGGTACTCTTTCTGGGTAATTCATCAGGCTTTGTTATCAGGATGGTTCTGTCCTTATAAAACAAGTTAGGAAATATTCATTCTGAAAAGAACTTTTGTGAGAGTGGGTTTACTTAACCCATAAATATTGATAGACTTCACTAGTAAATCCATCTGAAACTCGAGTCTTCCTATGTCAAACGTTTTTAATTAAAGATACTAATTTCTTTAACAGATACAGGGTTATTAAGAGTTTTTTTTCTTTTTACAGTATTTTGTTTTTTAATATTTTGCCTTCTATTTTTAAATGTATGTTCATGAAAGAATTTGGCTTGTAAATTTTCTTTATTTTAATGTGCTTGTTAGGATTTGATCATAAGATTATGCTAACCTCTTAAAACAAGTTAGGATGGTTTTCTCTTTTTTTTTTTTTTGCTCTCTGGTGGAGATTAAGATTTTTGTTAACTTTCCTTAATTATTTGGATAATTAATTAGTGAGGACTTCTGGGGCTGAGTTACTTTTTAGCTACAAGTTTTTAATTATGTTTTAATTTTTTTAATAAATAAAGGACAGTTCAGATTTGCTGTTTCTTCTTGTTTCAATTTCTATAACACAACTTTTTTAGAAATTTACCCATTTCCAATAAAATTTAAGGTTTATTAACATAAAGTTGCCTATAACTTAATATTATATTTTAAAACTCTATAGGATCTGTAGTAATGGCCTCTTTGTTTTCATATTATTCATATTTTGTGACTTCTTTTTTGTACTTATTCAATCTTTCAAAAAAACAACTTTTGGCTTTTTAAAAAATCATTTCTTCATATGTCCTTTAATATTTCTTTTTTTTCCTTTATAATTATCATGTTCTTCCTATTTCTTTGGTTTTAATTTAAAATTATTTTCTAAATTATTAAATTTGATTTTTAGCTTTTATTTTTTTAAAAGTAAAT